TGAAGCACTGCTCTACCCTTTTCTTCATGGCTCTTCTGCAAGACCCTGAAGCCAGCAGGATGAGGAGGGTTGGCTTGACTGAGGAAGGATCTGCTTTGCTGATTTGGAAGCTGGCCCTGCGTAGGGGTCATCCAGCTGTTACAGCTGTCACCATCCACACATCTGCCTTTCCTCACAGCTGCGGAGAATGGCCTTCTCTAGCTGTCATCGTGAGCAACTTCTCCCTCTCGCAAAGGCCGACTGTTACTGTAAGACTTCAAGTTAGCCAAGTGGGCTTGGGCTGGGTCCTCCTGCTCTGCTGACAGCGCTCACTGTTCAGCAGCCTGAATGCAGCCTCTGTGCGCGCCCGTCCTTCCACGCTCCTCAGCTGCCCATTGATTCTCTGCAGCAAAGGCAAAAGAAACCGGGGCAAGAAAGGAACTGCCTGCTGCCAAGGCAGCCTCTGGGGAATCCCGGTGCTGCCAGCCCGGGCCCCTCAGTGGGAAATGGGGGACAAAACGCTGTTGTGGGACGTGCTGCAGGGAAGAAGGGGGTGGGGGCACCTCGGGGAGCTGCTGCTCCCGTGGCCCGGCGCTGGCGCGGGTCACAGCGCTGTTGGTGGTTCCGCCGCCTCCGGACTTCCCAGGGCTTTTGAAGCTAAAGCCCGGGCATGCCACAGGCTGCAGGTGTTTTCCAGGTGCCGGAGTCTGTGCTGTTTGCCACCCACTCAGCCCAGCCCCTGCTAGGAAGGGTGAAGTCAAAAGTACCAAACCTAGATCCTGCTATGGGTGGGTTGGTGGGGAATCTCCTAGCACTCTGGGATACACGGAAGGGTGGTTTAGGAGTGAGATCTGCAGACTGGGACACAGGAAAGCTAGGTTGGATTCCTGATCTGCTGGTGAATATGCCTGTATCCTTGGACAAATTGCTTCATCTCTCCATGCCTTAGTTTCCTGTTAGCAAATGATACTCCTTATCTTTCACCTCTCATCTCAGCAGAGGAAAGAGTTTGTCTTTTAGTATGTATCTTATTACAGTTCTTTGTCCAGTGGCTGGGGCCCCTCTACCTTGATAAAAAAAAATAATTGAATTTAGATTAAATGATCTAATATAGTCCTGCCCAGTGGTTAGCAAGACACTTGAATGAAAGTTCATTCTGAGCCTGTGTTTCCATTTCCTCAGAAGGCCAAGGCATGAAGTAATTAGATGTAGACATAAGGTTGTTATTGTAGCGCAATGACAAAGATCAGTGGTTATTGGTAGGAATGGCTCTTATAATCTAGTTTAATGGTCATTTACCTTTCAGTGACCTTAGTGTCAGACAAAATTGGCAGCTTTCTTGTAAGGAATGTGCTTCCTCAATGGGGGCTTTGCAGGCTACTGCATTTTTTTGCTGTAGCTTCACATGAACTAGGATAGGCACCACTGCAGTGCAAGAGACTTTCTGTCTGCAAAGAGAGGCTGTAGATTCCTGACAAAAAAAAGCCCTTTTCAGTGCTCTGCTACTGCCACTAAATTGCTGTCGAAGCAGATCAGTCATGTTTCAAGCACTTCTTTGCTTATTGCTGCAACCAAAGTTGCAGCCTTCAAATGGAGGGTCTGCTGTGCTCGGAAGGCTGCCCAGGAGTTTCTGTTGTGTTGTCCTGTAGTGAAAGGAGGGAGACTATCTCTCATCCAGTTAAGTGCATGCAAGAGGAGCTGACAGTCCTGGTTGTAACCCCCACCCTGTAAGTCCTCATTACATCAGTAAAGACTTGTTATTTCTCTTACAATTTAAAGTTCAGTCCTTTCAGCGATGGTTGTTCACTCATTGCAGAGGCAAATCAGACCCATTTCCATTGACTGTGGTGCTCCTGCACCTCTCTTCATCATGTGTTGTGAAATCCTTATGGGTTTCACTCCATGACTGATGATTGTGGCCATGGAGAAGACCATGATAGGAGCTATGCTGTGATTTCTAATGGTACCCTCTACTTGTGGCCATGCTTTGTAAGGAGATGATGTAGGTCATATTCTGGGGCTTGAGAGGACAGGATTCAGTAGAGGTATTCACAGTGACTTTGGCTAAATGTCTTAATTCTTCTGGGCAGGTCTTAACCTTAGAGGTAATCTCCTGTTTTCTATGAAGTAGGCAGAATTTTTGCAATTGTTATGGAGTTATTTGAGATGGTGCCTGAGAGATTGAGTCATTTGGGTGTCCCCAAAGAAGTGCTATGAGAGTTGAGAAGCTCAATGTAGCTGTGGGAGAAGTTTTTACAAAAGCACCTCTGAGACTTGCGCTGCCTTGTGATACAGGCCTCTGTCTACTTCTGCATCTCATCCTGCTGCTCACAGGTATTTGATTTTGCACACATGTTCCTTGCATCTGTAACTATTGCTCTGCAGAACAAGCCTAGATACAGGAATTGCCTCTTTATGCTCTCAGTTTTAAAGTGCTGAGATAAGGAGGACAAAACAATGCAGCCTGGAGGGAGAGCCATTTGTTTCAGGCTGCTTTGGATAACCACCACCCTGGTTTTGCCATGAGCATGTTCCATACATCATCATCACAGCATGATAGCTGGGATCAAGCAGTGGTTTCCAGCATTCAAACTCCTGAGATAGTTTATCATACATGGAGTCTCAACTGCTTTTAGACCTATTGACCTGCTGTGATACTTACTTGCACAGAGGATCTCACAGACCCTAATCATATTAATTATTCTCATTTCTCACGTTCATCACTGTCTGATAAGTGTTAGCTTGTTGTTCTTCTGATGTGAGAGAATGAATGGTCACATTCATTTCAGTGGCAGTTTATTTTTGCAGGTATCAGGTTTGGATTGGTGAAATCCAGCTGAGATCAAAGAGATACTTGCATAGAAGCAGGTCGTTTATGTGCTGCTTCTTGCTGAAGAAGAGCAAACTGAATCTGTCTTGAGTCCCTTTAGTCTGAATCCATTGAAGTCTGACAGAATCTTTCCACTGACCTCTGTGGCCCCAGGATCGTGTCCTAAATGAGTTGCTTTGAGTCACCAGAAGCCTGCATTCAGCTTTGGTGGGCTGGAAAATGTAACCTACTGTATGGGCTGCACTATTCATAAGCACTTGGCCCTGTGTATGTGCTAGCCCTGGATGCCTGGAAGAAGAATAAAGTCATTTTCCACAGTCGTGGGGGTGGAAGAGGGAGTGGGAATGATACCCCCTGCCCTGCAAAGCTGCTGTCGTGACATCCATGTGGGCAGCTGTTGGGAGCTGACCTGCTTCTGAAGCGTCACACTAAGATTAGGTATTTTTTTTGTGCTGTTGCTTCTAATATCATCACTGACACACAAATGTCCTGTCCACCAGGCCTGACCAGTAGGAATTGACCTCAGTTTAAATTTTCTGAAGTGGGCCACTGAAGCAGATGAGTGAGTACAGCAAGGCTGTTGTTTACCCCAGTGGAGTTTCCTTAAACTTACAAAAAGCAGGGTCCGTAAAGCTTGAGAGAAGCTGCTTGGGACTGTTTGACACCAAATGCACACAGCTCATTGTTTAATGACATCAGTGGCACCTAATTTTGTCATCAACAAATACTACCTTACAGTTTATGGAAAAAGCTGTTGTTTCTTGAAGTGATTCTTGCTTTTTCTGGGCTGTGATGGGTCATAGCTGGGCAAGACAGCAGCTAGGAAAAAACATTCAGGCTAAGTCAGTGTGATACAGTCTGCCCTGAGTATCCATTCCCTACAGGCCCTAAATCAGACCAGAGGAGAACTCATTTGGTGTAGAGGGCATAAAACAGTGTGAAGAACTACTAGTTGGTAGTTCCTCTGGAGCCATTGTTGATTGATCTGGAGTCATTAGGCTGTTACACGGTCAAGCTAGTGAAGATTAATACTGGTTGAGAGCAGTAGCATGTTTCCCAATTAATGGCTAGCAACATAAACCTTTACAGTGTAATTTATGCTTTATTTATCAGTCTTCCAAAATGTTCTCACCCAAGGAAGGGTCACCTGGTGGCTAAAGGTGGGGGAGTGGGAGGGTGATGTTAACACTAATGATGGTGGTGGGTGGGAGCAGCCCTGGCTGGGTTTCCATGCTTTTCCCACACACGGTCCCTCATTCTTGCACGGTGCTTCCTCTCTCCACATAATACTCTGTTATTTCCTCCCTGGAACTGGTTCCTGCCACTGCTGCTAATTAGCCCATGATAAACTTCAGCGTGAACAAAAGCAAGCAATTAAATGCCTGTTGCTTCAGCGTGAGCCCTGACAGAGGAGTGATTTGTGGGTGGCAGAGCTGAGTAGCACCTCCTTAGGAGGAAAACCAGCCTGTTAGCCTGGCTCAGGCACTGGTGCTGGGCTGTGGTGTCTCTGAGTCACTTGTAGTGGCTACACGGGGACAGCTTCAGGTTTTCCCAAGGCTGTCTGAGATGCTGCTTGGTCTTGGGTCTTCAGTTCCAGGTGGTACAATGATCTCTGTGGTTGCTACCCAAGCAAGATGGCTTGAGAAGTTACTGAATTAGGATTTTTAGCTGTGTAGGGGGTTTGGGGTGGGTTTTGTTGTCTCTTTTTGGGAGGCACGCATAAACATTTTCAAATTGTTACAGAGGAATGAGGAGGGTCTTTGGTAGATCCCAATCCAAATGTTGTTTGGAGGATGTTTGCTGGGACTCCAGATGCAAGCATCAAGATGTTGTTAGGTGCTTTTGTGTGATCTCAGCCATAATGCTCAAAATCCCTCTGGGCTTTCCCCTTTTTAGGAAAAAAATCCTATTGGAAGAAGAATAGTTATTTACATCAGATTTTACTGGTGTATGTACAGACTAAGGAAAGTCAGAGGTTTTTTGGTTTTGTGACTCCAGTGTGTTGTTTGTTTTTTTTTTTTTTTTTCAGAACTGGGGGGGAGAGGGTGAGCGTTCAAACTCAAAAATGAAACATTAATTATTCCTGGACAGAAAAACAAAAAGGCTCTTGGAAAATACATAATTAATGCGTGTCCTCTTTTGACACACCACCCAGCTGCTTTGCCAACAATTGTCTCTGTTGCTGTTGTAGCTCTCGAGCAGCTGCTCACGGAACTTGAAGATTTTCTGAGAATACTGGACAAAGAGAACTTGAGCAGCACTGCCGTGGTGAAGAAGAGCTTCCTCTCCGACCTCCTGCGGGCCTACACCAAGTCCAGTGGTACGGGCAAGGGAAGCCAGGGCTTTGGGGCAGAGGGGTCTCATGGGAATCGCTACAGGGTCTTGAAGCAATGTTTTCCTGGAGGCTGGTGGGAATGGGAGACATGAAAATTAGAAGGAGAAAATGAAATGGAGATTATTTTTGCAGTGACCTCTAATTGTTTATTTAAAATTACTATACTTAAGTGTCCAGCTTTACAAGCAGAGGATTCCCAAGATTCCTGATTCTTTCTGTTTTCCTTATTAAACCTTGAGTTTATTTAATCCACTTTGTAAGATACACAGGATGTACTGTTTGGCCAAGTTAATGTTTAAGTAGAAATTTTAGCTTATGGAATTTCCTGACTATAAAGCATTTAATTTTTCTGCTTTTTATTATTGCTTGGGTTTTTTTCTGCATATTGCCTCAACCAACATGCTCTCCCCAAATGTACTCAGCGGGGACACTTTTGACATCTGTTTTTGTGGAAAAGCTTAGCCACGTGAAAGCAGCGAGTGGGTAAGGAGTTCACTTTTCCCTGTGATTGCAGGTGGCGATGAGGAATATATTTATATGAACAAAGTGACCACCCATAAGCAGCAGGGTGACCAGGAGAAACAAGACAAAGGTAGGAAGCTGCAGATTAATCTGTGTCATGTCGAACTGGGTGACGAAGGCACATGATGTTTAGAGCTTTGCTTTGCTGGTGGAGGCCCCTCAGGCAGCTCTTCCATGGTGTGGAAGGACAGCCATTTTCATATATTCCCTTAGAAATAGTGGTCTTTGCCAACACTGTGAGGTTATTCCTGGAAGTAGCACTTTGGAGGGCATTATTTTGGGATAAAAATGTTGCCTTCTAAGGCTTGAAGCTTCAGTGCCTGAAATATTTAAGGAAGCCTTCATGGTTACTTTGGCCACAAAACAAGTTGCTTCCCCTGTTTGAGACCCTGAAAATATGTGTCTTCTCTAGTGTGTTGCTCTGTGCTAGCCCAGAGGGTCCGGGTCATGACAACCCTGTGAGGTAAATTCCCAGGAGGCACATGAGTCTCCATCTGTGTGGGCACCTTCCTCTCCTGGGGGATGGCAGAGTTCTGTGGGGTACGAGGCAAGAAATGAAACCTGGATAAAACACTCCTTTCCAATTTAGCTTTCCCAGGTTTTGAATTTGGAGCATGGCAAAGAATGTAATTGTCTAAAAATGTTCTTGCTCTTTGAAGTTCTTCACTAAAACTGCTTTGAATAATTGCACAGAGTGAAATTGGCAGTGGCACGTCTCCTGAACGCACACCTAGCTGGAGGCTGACTGAGCCTCAGAGGTTCTGATCCAGGTAGACCAGAGGCCACGTCAGTGCAGCCTGCTGTTGACCTGCTGGTCCTGCAATAGTCGGGAGAGTTCCACTTCCAGAGTGGTTTGTTTTGGATTTATTGGTTTGTGGTGGCTTGGTTTGTTTTTTAAACTACCTGCAGCTGAATTTAGATTAACTTCAAATCCCTGGGCAGACAGGATGTCCTCCCAGATGACACATGCAGCCCCCTGTGATCTCCAGCCAGGGCCCTCTGGGAGATGCTGTGGTGCTCTCTAACAGCACTGCACAGCCTCCCGGTAGCTCCCAGCAGCTGAGCAGCAGCAGAGACATCTCTTTATATATCTCTTATCTGGGTGGATAAAACAGGGCTTGTGCCGAAGCACGGGGGCAAATTTCAGTCAATTTATTTTGAGAGCTGGTTCTTTTATTTCAGACTTCCCTAGCAAGGCCGTGGACCTGCCCACTCAGTCACTCCCTGTGGGACCTGGCACTTTGCTCTTTCTCTGTTTTCAGCAACTTCCCTATTCCAAGTAAAACTTCAGAGTTATGTGGAAATGCTGAAGTCAGTGAGAGACATAGATGGGATCTTAGCCATAGCTGCAGCTGGGTGTGCAGCCCGGATCCTGCTTCTGTGACTGGGTGGAGAGGTCTGTGGCCTGTCTGGTCAGTGGTGGGACCTGCAGGTTCAGGTTTAGCAAACAGAGGGGGCCCTAGTGCCCACCGGTGCTAGGAGGGTGATGTGGATCTGCTGGTGGTTAGTCACCTCCCTTTGCCCCTTTACCTATTGCTGCTCTGTGCACTTTGGTTCACCGAAAGCCTTTGATGGGGTGTGGTGACCACACTTTTGTGGCTGAGGCCAGCAGAACCTCTTGTGCCCTGCAGGGTTCCTTCACCACCATAGCTGGTGTTTAAGTGTGCTCTAGCAGCACAGGGTGAAATGCTTCCTGAAGTGATAATACATCACCCCCGAGAGTCCCCCCTCCAGACCTTAAAATACACTATTTCTGGAAAAAAAAACCCCATATTTCACTGCTTGCTGTCTCTACTTCCAATTTCATCGTTAGGGATTTAACCTGAACAGTATGCTGCTTTTGAGATGCACTTTTATGGCACAGTAATTGAGTTGCATTGAGTGATGAAAGATCCATCGTTTACTTGAGAAACAAAGCAAGTCTCTACCCTGCAAGTCCATGGGGCTCTTCAGTCAGCCAAATGCCATCTCCTTCTGGAAGTTAGCACAGAGGGCTTGAGGTGCAGGAGTCTGGGAGGTGGGAGAGATGCACGGTGTAGGGCTCCTGGTGGTGCATGCTGTGGCCCTCTTAGCCCAAATACCAGAAGACGCTTCAATTCTACAAAAAACAAAGAGCATGGATAAGTAACAGGACAGATGATAATTTTAGCAGGCTTTTGGCTGTTTTCCCTTCTTCTAAATTCCAGGTTTTAGAGAGCTATCTTTATTAGAAGACACCTGCAAAGTGTTAGTGCTTGTCTAGGAAAAATTGCTCCTTCCCTGTCACCCCAGTAAGGAAGCAGTCTGTGATTTGTGGTGCTGATGTGTGTAGCAGGAGAAGGAAGGGCTATGCAGAGCACATGCTGTGTGGACTCTCACTACAGAAAGTATACATTGGGTGCTTGTTCCCATATGCTGGGCACAGCCATAGCTGCCCTCTGCAACCTCAGAACAGAAAACCCCTGTAACCTTTCCCCGGGGTCTTGTCAGGATGGAGGTTAAAGGGATGGATCTTCCTGCACAGAGCCAGAAAATCAAAGCTCCATCACATCCTGCTCTGCTCCTCAGCTGGAGTACATGGGCGTGTGTCCATGGAGGTGGGCAGGTTTCCAGCAGGGTGAGGACCAAATCTGTGGTCTCTGTCCTGTGCTCCAAGGTTGGTGGGAGGAGGAGGAACTGCTGGTACAGAAATCAAACAGCTTTTTCCTGGCACAGTGAGGTTCAGTGGGATGATTGCTAGGTTTGTTGAGGAGTTGAGAACAGATGGCCACCACTTGTGAAGGGTTTGGCAGTGGTTTTTTCTGCTGCAATGATTTCTCCTCAGTAGAACGGAGTACAGAAGGCTCTGCATGATGCAGGAGGCTGCATGTTGGCCTGTCTGTTTCTCTCTGTTCAAGAGGCCCCTAAAAATTTCCCTGTGTGGACAACTGTGAGTGTGCAGATAATCCCTTCTTGGGAAGTAGTCCACTGGGGCTTTAGAAAACCTCAAACTTGTTTCTGGTGTTTTCAAAAGTAGCAATGGCCTCAGCAGCTGCTGCTGATGGAAGGTGTCTGTCCTGAGAGTGCTGTTCTCCTTAGTCCTTTGCAGAAAAGGCCAACCTCCAACAGCAATGTGTAGATATGACTCTGGTAGTATAATTGTGGGGTATTTTGGTAGGTGGATCTCCCCATGATCAGTCTGTGTCATAGGTTCACCTGCTTCACTCTTTTTGAACCTCACAAGATATCCAGCAGCCCTACCTGAGAGGTGCAAACAGCTGCTTGGAGTTGCTGTCTATCGATCGATGGACATCCTGACTTACTGAAGTTAGCCAGTGCTGAAGACCAGGAGAGCTGTGTCACAGGGAGCAAGTTGTCACAAGAGATGTGTTTTGGTGTCTTGTGCTGTGAGGCCAGGAGCTGGCTGCAGCCTGGCAGGGCAGAGCTGTTATCGTGGCTTCCAAGCGCTAGACGTGAACAAAGTAATGTGGCTTCCAGCTGCTATTTTTGAAGCCCAGAAATATACAGCAGAGTTCCTGTCCACATCATCTGGGTGCAGTGCTCGCCACTGCTGGGCACTGCACAGTGCCTTGGTGGCTTCTGTGTGTGCCTGAGGAACGTGGCTGGAGCATCAGCAGGTGACAAAGGGAGATGGAGCATCAGCTTGCTGCAGATTTTGGACCAAATTCCCTCACTTTATTTACTGGACTTGCAATATCCGGGTACCTTAGCCTCGTTTTCCCAAAGTATTTGGCAAGAGATGCTCTGTGGAAAGGGTCTTCCCCTCTGCACAGTATGATGCCTTCAGAGTCCTTAATTTTTCAGACATTTGTGACTTGCTCCCACTTGTTCCTGAGTATTGCTGCATTGCACTGCCTTGGAGGTCGTGGGATCTGGGCACTTGTTTGAGGCCACCCAGGAGGTCTGTGGTGGGGAAGAGGAACTGAGCACGAGTTTTTCTGAGCCTTCCATGTACCCTCCAGCTACTGAATCACTCTGCATTCAGCTGCTTGGAAAATCTGACTTTCCCGAGGCAGATGTAGGTGGCCTGGAGCTGTTCTGCTGCCATGTGCCCTTTCACACGTTTGGCCTGGGCTGCCTCGAGAGCAGCTCTTCCTTCAGTAGCAATTAAATTACTGTTCTTGGCTGGGTTTGATGCACGCTTGTGCAGCCCAGCTAGGCAACAACCTTTGCAGTTTGCTCTGGGAGCAGGGTGGTATTAGCTCCAGTTTTCTGGAAAGGCAGCAGAGGTGGGGATGATCACTGAACTGTCTGCTGGCAGCAGCAGGGATCAGAGGTCACAAGGACTGAAGTCCTTGTGGGTTTCCAGATACTGTGTAGTATCTGCCCATGCTGCTTCTCAAGACCCTTTAGAGTTTCAGCAGTAGGTCTAGGCTTCATAGTTTTCCCTCCAGAAGGAAAAACATGCCGTAAAACCAGAAGCCAGCTCCTTTGTTGGGTCTCCTAGTGCCACATTCCTGGGTATGGCCTGAAATGACATGGTGGCCCTGCAGCACTGCCTGTAATTGTCACTCTGCTTCCTACCAAAATAGCACCTCACTGTTCCTGCACAGCCCTGGGTTCCTCTGTTGGGAACTGCCATGTGTCATTGATATAATTGTGTTTCTGGGTTGCAGTGCTGGATCAGAGAAACTCCTTGACCAATGGAGACTCAGGACTGCCTTCATCCCCTCCTCAGAAGAGCCTTCCAGATCTCCCACCTCCAAAGGTATGTTTTGTAAATCCTTTGTTTTTCACTGCCTAGCCCACAGCCTGGGGATCCAAACCTCCTGAGGCTCCAGTTCTGTTATGTGCTGTGCAGCATAGCTAAGTGGAGAGCCCTCTGTCAGTCTATGGTAGTGAGGCAAGTGGTTGTGGTGAGCTTTATTTAAAAAAAAATAAAATAAAATATTCAACTAGGAGCTCCCCAGTGTGCACGTTTCCAGCCACACGTTTCATCTTTATGAACGCTGCGGTCTGCATGCGGCTGGTGCAGGCCTGTGGCTGGTGGCCCAGGCAGGGTGGCTGTGGTCCAGGGCAGCTGGGCATCCAGAAACCCCTGTGGGTCCCAAAAATGGGCACACATGGAGCAGGCAGCTGGAGGAGCCTTGTGCTTCTCCTGTGCAAAACGGGCTGTGTTCCCTGCCAAGGAAACCTGCACCCGTGGCAGGGCAGTCCAGGCTCAAAGGAGGAAGAGAACTGAGGTTTTCAGAGAAACAAAGGTGATGATGGCTCTCAGATGTTGCTTTGGAAATCTCCCAGAGTTGTAAAGCAGCAGTGCCTGGGCTGCTGAAGTGAACTTAGGAAAGCCAGGAATCCTTCCCCTGTGGAGTGGTGGGGAGGTCCCCGGGCAATGTCAGGTCTCCCGTTCTGGCAGAGCTTTGCACAGTTTGGCCATTAGCAGAGAAGATCAAGTTTGCTTGAAGTGCCTGGTGTTGTCTGTGTGTTGGATGTCCATGACAGGTGTTATGCTGGTTGTACAGCCCACGGGTCTAGCAGGAGTTGTTGCTGGCACTTGAGGTTTTTTTCTGTAGGGCAGCTGTAAATCTAGCCAAGGTCCAGTTCAACACCATCAGCTGTCAGCAGGATTCTTGTCTCTGTGCCAGCAATCCAGCCCAGCTGTCCTAGAGAGTCACAGGTCATCCTTGAGACCCTGGATGTTGCTGTTCAGTAGTTGATCCAACATGGGAATTGCTGTAGCCGGGATTTTGGGATGTTAAAGGAGAGAAAGGCAGGGAGTGTGTGTGGAGACGAGGGGGAGGCATGGAGCAGGACAGGGTGGTGCATCCATCAACCATAGAGGAGGATCTGCGCCCTTCCTAGGAAGCAGGACATGGGGTGAGGCCCCAGGACATCAGCACAGGGGCCTGTGTGGCTGACTTGGAGTTAGCTGGAGGAGCTGGGAAGGCAAGGGGCTTAGATGGGGTGCAGCCAACAGCCTCTCAGAAACAGAGCAGTTGCCTGTTGGGAGCTGCTCCAGCCCCAGGGGTTCTGCCCACGCAGCCAACTGGGAACGTGGCGCGGGGGCTGGAGCAGCCTGGGGGCAGTGACCGGAGCAGGAGTCGCTGCTTGCCTTTGGGTTTCTCAAAACCAGAGGGGATGGTAGCTGTGGCAGGGAGGAGAGCAGGAGGACAGCAGTGCAGTGGAATGAAGACATGATGGGGAAGCAGCAGCCGGGTGTCCCCAAGGCATTTCTGCTTGTGCTTGGTGCAGCCCAGCTTTCTGATAAGGCATTCGGGAAGTTAAATGAGGAAATTAGCAAAAAAACAGTCAAGGATTTTAGCTGAGAAGGGTACCTAAGCCATCTGTCTTCTCCTAAGCCTCTGCTCTGCATTCCCCAGCCTGCTGGCACTGGAGCTAACTTCCCTTGGGTGTAGCAATCTGAGTATCAGTGAGCTGCTGGCAGCAAAGATACCTGAGTAAACCTCAAGGAGTGGGGCTGGAGAGAACTCCAATGTGGTCCCTGTCAGTGTGGGGGAATTGATGTGGAGAAGTGAATTTTCCTTGTCTGTGTGCTGCTCCTGGAGTGGGCAGGAGCCATGGACACTAGGGTGGAGGAGGAAGAAGCATAAGCTCCTACACAGTAAAATGGGGAAGTTAGGGGAGGACCTCAGACTATGTCTGTTTTAGCTGTGTGGACTTCTCTGTGGTTTGGTAATGTTAAGGCACCCGTTGGTGTTGCTCTGCACTTGCCTTTTGAAGCAGAGAAGAAATATGGTGATGGAGCTCTGCACAGCATATTGTCCCTGGTATTCACTGACACCAACAGTCAACACGCAGCCCAATAGAGGTGACCCAGCTGGATCCCACTAATTTCTTTGGATTTGTCCCAAAGCAACCTTTAAACAATGAGTCATGCAGGCTGTGGCTCATACACCAGTGACCTTTCCTCTGTGGCAGCTCTGGCAGCTCCACCACTTTCCACAGCCGTCCACGGGGGAGGTCATGCGGAGTGGATGCAGATGCCCAGGGTGGTTTTATTTGCATGCTCCATTGTGCCATAATGCAATGGGCAAATGTTCTGCAAGGGCCATTTTGGGTAAGATAACATGGTCTCTTTGACTTGAGCTAGAGACAGAACAACTCCACGCCTTTAGGGAAGGAGAAGAGGGAAAAAATAGCTTCTGGGGCATCTGAGGTGCAGTCCCACCTAGTCCCTCTTGGTTTCCATTGTCCATAGGAAAGAAAAGAGAGCAGCCCCTTTCCCTGCTTCCCCTTCCCTGGCACTTCTGGGATGGTGTCACACAAACCCACAGCATTTCTTTGTGTACTCAATTTGTTTATGGCCGTAGCACGATGTGAGCTGGCTACACGCAGGAGGCCACCACAGATGGCAATTGCAGACACATTCCCTAGCCAGGGAAGGGATTAAGTAAAGCTTTGGTGTGGCTAGGTTTGTTTTTATTTCTTCAATTTAACACATTAGGACAAGTTCCTAAACCTTTTCAGTGTTTGCAGGCAAGTGTTTTCCAGCTACGTGGCTCTGGAGAGCAAGCTCAGAGTCTGCTCGCAGCATCTGGCAGACCCATGTGGGAAGGAGTTCTCATCCAAAACACTGAGGAAGTTTGAGGTTGGCAGAGCCAAGGGCAGCTCACCCGTGTGGGAGCAGAGACACGTGACTGGGCTGGTGTGGCCAGGGTACCTGGCTCCCACAGCCTCAGTGGCATCCCACGTTGTGGGCAGCTGCTGGATAGAAGCTGTTTTCCTTCAGAGTTTCCTTTCTCCTTCTGGGCAGCAGTATGTGTTGGTAGGAATATCCAGGGCAGGGTGGGCAGCTTTAAACCTGAATTGGATGGTGCTGGCATGACCTGCAAAGGGGCTGATCTTGCTCTGCAGCTGATGCCCAGCTGGCCCCTCTTCTCCAGGCCACTGGGAGCAATTGCATGGGCTGACATGAAGGGCTGTGCATGGTCCACAACCTTCAGCATTGCTGTCTCTGCAGAGAGAGACATGCTCTTCTGCCTGTCCTTTTGGGAGGAGAGGGGCTTTAGTCCTGCATACACTGAACGTCCTGCCCAGGATTTGCACAGGTCTCAGTCAGAAGCCTGTTGAGGCATTGTGAGCCAGAGCATTCCATTGTCAGATGATCAGGGGTGGTTTGACCTGGGTGAGGAGAGGGACACCTCACTGGGGAGCAGGGGGATGCTCCTGTTGGGTCATGGTGGGAGATGAGATGCCACGTATTTTGGGAAGAACACAAGCTCATCCTACTGTGATCTCCAGCTCTGCTGTCTCACTTTTCAACGGCTATGTGAATTAGCTGAAAAGTAAAAACTTTGTTACTTAGCTTCCCTTTTTTATTTTTTTTTTCTTTCCCTCAAGTGTTGGTATTTCTACATGATCAAGGCCATTTTTCCTGCCAGCCCTTGCTTGTGTTTAGGGAGGGGCTTGGCAGGCACCACAGGGTTTTTCCAGCGCTTGGATTCTTTTCAAAGACTTATTTTCCATCAGTGTTGTTTATCCATTTCCTTCATTTTTTTTCTCAGAGCACAATTAAAGATTCCTGCTCCTGAAGTGGAGATTTGTAGCCGTTGGTTTGGGATCAGTCAGACCTGGGGACATGACCAGGGAACACTCGGGCTGCGCTCTGCGGTGCAAAGCCAGGACTGCACCAACGCCCACCCTCCTGCCTCCCTGTTAAGATAATCAATAGCACAGAGGATCATCCCCAGTTACAACGAGCAGCTTGGAGATGGGGTTGGTGCAGCAGGCAGAAGTCCCAGGTCACAGTATGGCCAGTGGGTTGCAGTTGCTGCTTTTGAGGAAACCTATGAGTTGATACTTCCAGAGCTTTCAGCACTATTACAGAAAATAACATTTATGACACAATTATACAGTAGTTTCCAAGAACTACTTTATATTTGAGCTAACTGTAGACTGGAAACCTTCAGCAGTCTTTCTTCCCTGTCATCTCAACCAGTTTACATGAAAACATCCTGGTGTAAACATGTATAAAGTCTCACCCACTAGGATGTGCTTCAGCACTAAAAAACCCAGAATGCCCCATTGTTTTCAAACATCTGTTTTTACCTTGAATCATGCTTATTTTATTTATTTATTCTACAGATTCCTGAATCAAAACAACCTCCAGTCCCCAAGATCGAATCCCCAGAGGGATATTATGAAGAGGCTGAGCCATATGATGTCTCTGTAAATGGTATATCACAGCTAACTCTTGGGGGGTGGTTCAAGTGGGAGATGGAGGACTTGAGGTTTATGAGAATGAGTAAACAAAAGCACAGACATTTCTTACAGTTTGTGTGACAAATTTGTTTTCTGATGCTGGCCACACTTCATATTACAGATCTAATACTAGCTGGAAAGAAAAGGCTACTGCATTACTCAAATGTTTACCTTTCCTACAGAAATAAGTCGTATGCCTGGGTTAATCTAATATCACTGTAAAATATTACAAACCATTGTGGATTTTCTTTCTGTTGATGATTTTCTGGCAGATAGGCTGTAGTCAAATTCAGGAGCAAGTGGTGAAGCTGTGGTGGCTTGTATTCCTAGTGGTCGAATCATCCCTTTGGGGCTCAAAGTCCATGACTGTTGGTCTGTGAGACATGATAGCTGGTTTTACAATTGCCTAGTTATTCAGCTCTGTCTCTTGTGGCAGTTTAACAGTCTGTAGACTTGATTAAAAAGCCATGCTTCATGTGAGGGGACAATGTGTGGGTTCCTTCTGCACACACTCACTTGCTGCCTGGGTCCCAGAGGTGTCCCCAGCAGTGCCACCTGTCCCTGTCACCCGTGGGCTCCCCACTCTTTCAGGAGGAGACTGCTGCACACAGGCTGAGCTCCCACAGTCTCACTTGTTAAGATGTATTCCTGCATCCTTCTTTTGGTGAACACCCTCCCTGAGAGATTACCTTCCTCTGATGTGACAGCAGAGCTGATCTTGTCATCGCTTTATAATCCATTTAAGCCCAAATGAGACTGATTATATGGCTCTGCTGCAGAAGCAGATCTCTGCTTATCAGCCTTGACTGCAGCAGGGTGGGATTCAATGATTTACATGCTGTAGGGCAGAGCTGAGCAGGGAGAGTTGAGGCAAGCAAAGAAGTGAGAGTTAAGGGTAAAAGATTTGGCTCCAAAACCTTGGCTGTTGAATCTGAGCTGTTTATGAGAGAAGCTGAGTCCTCCAGCCGCAGTGTGCATCACCAGGCTTTGAAGCTCCCTGGCAGGGAAGCCCCAGCAGTGCCACTGTTGGGAGATGCATTGTTGATGCACCTGAACAGCCCTTGCTGCACGCGTGCACCCTGTGCTCCTGGGCAGCTCACTGTGGGTCACTCTCCTCAGAGTAACTTACGGGTTACAGTGCTAAACAAAACAGGGAGATGTAGAAAGCTTCCTTTCCCTGAACCATTCTGCTCTGGCTGCAAATGCCTTACAGGGCTGAACAGGAGCATGCCCAGCTCGGGTGGGAACTCCTGGGCAGCTCATAGCTCACTGTGGGTCACTCTCCTCAGAGTAACTTAGGGGTTACAGTGCTAAACAAAACAGGGAGATGAAAGCTTCCTTTCCCTGAACCATTCTGCTCTGGCTGCAAATGCCTTACAGGGCTGAACAGGAGCATGCCCAGCTCGGGTGGGAAAAGGTGCAGGTCCTCATGGCCACGGAGAAGCTGCTGGGGGGAGGAGAACTCCTCCCAGCTCTGCCACATGCAGTCAGGTGCCAGCTCAGGGTTGCTGAAATGCCCTGGGTTGTTTGGCTCGGGTGAGGGCTGTGATGGGCAGCGTGGAGGAGGGTGAAGCTCTCCTGCACCCAGAGCAGCACAGGACACTGAAGACGGTTTCCAGTTGCCTGCACTGTGAATTGCACTGTGAAAAAAATGAGCATTTTTTTCCTGATGCACATTAAGACAGCAGACGATGTGCTAAGAGCCATGGCATGTAAAGACATACTTTGGATTCGCTGGAGTATGGCCACGGATCCATGTGCTGGGACACCCAGGTTGTTACCCAGGCAGCTCCATAAACTCCTGTGGTGTCAGAGCCTCGGCTGGCAGGAGCGATAAGCACCCGCCCAGCTTAAACCGCTGCTTTTCCTTGGGAACCTGCTGCTTAAGGATGCAAATACGCCCACCATCCACTGAATCCAGGCCAGTCAGGTGCCTAAGGAAATGAGAGATAGAGAGAAAAACACATGATTGGAACACTGTCAAAATGGAGTAAAATCATCCTGGGCGCTGATGGGGCAGACTGTGGCTGCTAGAAAGAGTAAAAAAGCTAATGGCTTTTCAGGTGGCTTGTGTGAGAAGGAAGGTTGCAGCATGTCACCGAGAAGCTCTGTGCTTTTTGGCAGCCTCATGTTTGAGGTGGTGCCTTGGGGTGAGCAAAAAGGAGGAGCAGGGAGAGATGTAGAGCAGCAGGTGTGTGGCAGGAGGAGGCTGCAGGGGCTCGGGATAGGGTGAGATGTGGCATGCTGTGTGGAGCAGCCATGCTGGGGAGCTGCTGATGCCCAGTTAGCCTGAAGAGATCAGGCTTCAAATCCCATGGCACATGGGCAAGCTTGTAGGTCTTGGTCCTGCCCATTTATTCACCAAGTACAAAACTGGGCTCCACATCCCTTTTCCCCCCTCTTGCCTTGTCAGATGGCAATAGTGCCCTGTACCTGTTTTATGCAGAGTGATGCTCATTGCTAGCACATGCTTGGAGACCTTGGTGATTGCTGTTGCTAAAGGGCAGTCTGCACACGCCTGGGTTTGTCCTGGTGACAGGTGCTAAAGCCTGACTCCAGTAGCCCCCCCAAGCCCTCTGTGCTCCCCACCCTAAGCTGGGCAGGGAAGGGGCTAGTGGTCCAGGGAGCTGCTGGTGGTGTTTGTGACAGAATTGCAGCACAGGCCTTGGTAGACACCTATGGCCTCCAAACAAACAGGCGTAATGAAATCAAACAAAACCAGGCACACCGCTGAACTTAGGGGGTGCACTGGCAAGCAAGGCCAAGTGTGACTCCCTCCCCGGCCGGTCCTCGCCTGAGTGCCAGGCAGCAGTGGTGGTTCTGGCTGAAACGGCTCCTCAGCCCTGGCTGGTCTGAGCTACAGGGATGATGATTTTACTTGCAAAGGGTTTTGCCTTGTTTTGAGGGGTGGGTTGGAAACATTGTCCCTGTTTGGAGTCTCGCTGAAGTTGGTGCTCCTCTGTGGGCAGCAGGGACGGGGCAGCCTCACCGGCTGGGTGGACTGATGCCTTTGTTCTCTGCCTTTGC